TTCGTAACCTCTGTTTGCTCTGTCCCTTTTCTCTTCGCATACATTCGGTCTTGTCTTCCCTTCAGTTACCCCCATTCTATGTTCATGCAGCATCTCACTTTTCCCTACCCCATTGGGAAGTTCCAGCTGTTCGTCTGTTCTTTCTCACTGCCATGCACGTAACCCAACTGCCCACGGTAGCTTCCCGCTCTCTCTTTCTTGACCACTTCCACTCTTTCTCATGCCATCACAGTGGTTCTAAGTCTTCTAATGGTGCCGGATTTGCAGCAGTGTTTCCAGACAGTGTCGTGCAAGGCCATTTTCTATCCTCGGCTAGCATTTTTACTTCTGAATTGTATGCCAGTCTTGCAGCACTTATCCGTATTGCATCTATGCCTGTATCATCATCTGTGGTTGTTTCAGATTCCCTTTAGTGCTTTACAGGCTATACGAAAATTTGATACACCTCACCCCCTAGTTCTTCCTATCCAACTTTGGCTACGCCTCATCTCTACCAAGCACAAAGATAGTTTTTTCGTTGGGTCCCTGGTCATGTTGACGTACAGGGCAATGAACAGGCAGACACTGCTGTATGGTCAGCAGTACATGACCTCCCAGTTTCACATTGCAGTGTTCCATTCACGGACTGTTTTGCTGTAATTACTACCAACCTTCGCACCCACTGGCAACAACGTTGGTCTGATCTGCTGTATAACAAACTTCATTTTATTAAACCGAATATAGGTTACTGGCAGCCTTCTTGTCATCAGTGTCGAGGTTGGGAGACTACTCTCTCTCGTCTTCGCATCGGCCACACTCGTCTTACGGGGAGAGGCGCCATGTTCCTCTCTGTGAGAATTGTCAGGTTCTAGTATCTGTTAGCCACATTCTGTTGGACTGCCCACTCGATCATCGAGCACGGAGAATTTACCTCCATCGTCGTCTCCGCTCTGATACTCTCTCTTTACCTTGCCTTTTAGCTTAAGGAACCTCCTTTAATCTGGACTCTCTCATTGACTTTTTGACAGCATCTGATTTACTCCACAAACTCTGGTACTTTTCGTTCTCCCCTCAGCCCTTTCTAGCTCAATCTCTTGCTGCCCTCTACTCCTGCACTTTCTACTGCTCTGCTGTGCTCCATAACCTCTCCCTCTTGCTACCCGATACCCTCACATCCTTCCCTGCTCTGCAGCTCTGTATAGCCTTTGTGGTTTAGCGCTTCTTTTTTATTATAACTGTATTAACCCAGGAGAGACGACATACCGTATTAACCCAGGAGAGACGACATACTGTATTAACCCAGGAGAGACGACATACTGTATTAACCCAGGAGAGACGACATACTGTATTAACCCAGGAGAGACGACATATTGTATTAACCCAGGAGAGACGACATATTGTATTAACCCAGGAGAGACGACATATTTGTATTAACCCAGGAGAGACGACATATTTGTATTAACCCAGGAGAGACGACATATTTGTATTAACCCAGGAGAGACGACATATTGTATTAACCCAGGAGAGACGACATATTGTATTAAACCAGGAGAGACGACATATTTGTATTAACCCAGGAGAGACGACATATTGTATTAACCCAGGAGAGACGACATATTGTATTAACCCAGGAGAGACGACATATTGTATTAACCCAGGAGGGTTAATAATCCTGGATAAGCCAAGCATGTGGCTTTATACTATGTTTGTGTTTAGGTTCTCTGGTCTAAGATGTCGCCCACAACAGTCTACTAACATCTAGGTAAAACATGAATGGTATAAAATATCTTTATTTGTGAAGATTGAGACATTTACGCAACATATGGGAATCTACTTCAATTTTCGGTTTTAAATCATTTATCACTTTTTTTTTTTTGTAGACGCTAACCCACTGGATGACAAAGCGTCTTCAAATAAAAATACCCAGAAGTCGCAGGTGTCAAATTCTTCAATACCTGGGCACCTATTTTCTGCCAGGTGAAACTAGGATCCAAAAATATTACTCTCCTGTTGACATTTTTGTATAAAATTTGCATCGTGTAATTAACCTGTTAATTATAATTAACAAACCTATTAAAGTGGTGTACAATTTAATTACCTTAATTCTGCAATATTATCAAAATTGGGGACCTCGCATTATACAGCTGCCCTCATCAATACCATGGTTTACAAGCCTAAAATTATAAGTATCCGTTTGCAATCCCAGACAGATGTAGACGTATTTGGACAAATGTCACACCTGCTGTCCCTGCTCATCCGAACAGTAAATAGGTACCTGGGTGTAAATACTACTGCGGGTTGTCCTGAGAAGAGACAGACGTATGAGTTACGTTACTTCTGCCTCTCCTCACCTCTGTTTACCTAGCGCTAAACAAAACTTTATTGCAGATATAGTAATGACAGAACGACCTTAAAGTTTACTTAGGCTCAGGTACACTTAAGTACAGCCATACAGTGTAATTTACCAGTTTACCTCTGTCTTCAGTTAGACACTGGACAGGTACCTAAAGTTAGTACCTGACCGGCTGGGCTGTGATTCCAAAGTCAGTTTCCGTGCTGCCAGCAGTAACAGTCTGTTGATCAGGCCCTGATCCACCGAGAGGCCTAGTGAAGAACAGGGACGTGGGGGCGTTGACCCCTGGAACACCCCCCCCCAGGTATACTCCTGATAGAAACCAAAATACTTCCCAATCGAGTCAGTCGCTTAATATTTAAGATAAATTCTATGTTAATTTTCATCTTCCAGTAAGTAGAGAAAGTGTTAAGTTACCCACCTAACAGTGTAAGTTACCCACCTAACAGTGTAAGTTACCCACCTAACAGTGTAAGTTACCCACCTAACAGTGTGAGTTACCCACCTAACAGTGTAAGTTACCCACCTAACAGTGTAAGTTACCCACCTAACAGTGTAGTTACCCACCTAACAGTGTAGTTACCCACCTAACAGTGTGAGTTACCCACCTAACAGTGTGAGTTACCCACCTAACAGTGTGAGTTACCCACCTAACAGTGTGAGTTACCCACCTAACAGTGTGAGTTACCCACCTAACAGTGTGAGTTACCCACCTAACAGTGTGAGTTACCCACCTAACATGGAGTTACCCACCTAACAGTGTGAGTTACCCACCTAACAGTGTGAGTTACCCACCTGACAGTGTGAGTTACCCACCTGAGAGTGTGAGTTACCCACCTGAGAGTGTGAGTTACCCACCTGAGAGTGTGAGTTACCCACCTGAGAGTGTGAGTTACCCACCTGAGAGTGTGAGTTACCCACCTGAGAGTGTGAGTTACCCACCTGAGAGTGTGAGTTACCCACCTGAGAGTGTGAGTTACCCACCTGAGAGTGTGAGTTACCCACCTGAGAGTGTGAGTTACCCACCTGAGAGTGTGAGTTACCCACCTGAGAGTGTGAGTTACCCACCTGAGAGTGTGAGTTACCCACCTGAGAGTGTGAGTTACCCACCTGAGAGTGTGAGTTACCCACCTGAGAGTGTGATTACCCACCTGAGTGTTGAGTACCCACCTGAGTGGAGTGACCCACCTGAGAGTGTGATACCCACCTGAGAGTGTGAGTTACCCACCTGAGAGTGTGAGTTACCCACCTGAGAGTGTGAGTTACCCACCTGAGAGTGTGATTACCCACCTGAGTGGTTACCCACCTGAGAGTGTGAGTTACCCACCTGAGAGTGTGAGTACCCACCTGACAGTGTGAGTTACCCACCTGAAGTGTGAGTTACCCACCTGAAGGTAGTTACCCACCTGACAGTGAAGTACCCACCTAACTCACGTACAGTAGAGCCAATATAATCTATAGTTATTACAGTAACAGTAATACTCCCACAACAGTAGCTAAGTTCAATGCTCGGCATAAGTAGCACCTTTGTATGTACTAGTATGTCACTGATGTTAGTTAGGCTTTCATTCCCTGAATTACATATTCAGGGTATGAAAGCCTAACTAACATCAGTGACATACTAGTACATACAAAGGTGCTACTTATGCAGAGCATTGAACTTAGCTACTGTTGTGGGAACGTTAATTACTGTTACCTGTAATAACTATTGATCATTGTTGAAATGGTGATATAGTTGTAACACAGGAATTACGTCCCTAGGCGAATTATGGTGTCAAAAATGGCCGCCGTTGGCAGTGAGGTTATCAGAGATGAGCTGAGCAACTGTACCTGAATGATCACAGTGAGGTTATCAGAGATGAGCTCAGCAACTGTACCTGAATGATCACAGTGAGGTTATCAGAGATGAGCTCAAGCAACTGTACCTGAATGATCACAGTGAGGTTATCAGAGATGAGCTCAGCAACTGTACCTGAATGATCACAGTGAGGTTATCAGAGATGAGCTCAGCAACTGTACCTGAATGATCACAGTGAGGTTATCAGAGATGAGCTCAGCAACTGTACCTGAATGATCACAGTGATCACACATTGCAACTTCATCAACACTGCATCATGACTCTTCTGGACATTGGTCTTAATCATATAGATGACCAGTTTATGCATTTCCCTAAATGTTGCATGAACCCTTATTGGTTTAGCGCTTCCACCCTGTAAATAAATTTACTTTTCTTTGGTTTATCTCAGAATTTAAAAGTCGGATTTTAATGCGTCTAATATTTGTTTTTCTTCAGGCTTCTCGCGCACACAATGAAAGATAGTTGTCAGCAGCGTCCCTGACATCCTACGTCATCGGTAAACTGTCGAGCAGCGTGCCCCTGGAAACTGTCGAGCAGCGCGCCCCTGGAAACTGTCGAGCAGCGCGCCCCTGGAAACTGTCGAGCAGCGCCCCCTGGAAACTGTCGAGCAGCGCGCCCCTGGAAACTGTCGAGCAGCGCTCCCCTGGAAACTGTCGAGCAGCGCGCCCCTGGAAACTGTCGAGCAGCGCTCCCCTGGAAACTGTCGAGCAGCGCGCCCCTGGAAACTGTCGAGCAGCGCGCCCCTGGAAACTGTCGAGCAGCGCGCCCCTGGAAACTGTCGAGCAGCGCTGCCCCTGGAAAACTGTCGAGCAGCGCGCCCCTGAAAACTGTCGAGCAGCGCGCCCCTGGAAACTGTCGAGCAGCGTGCCCCTGGAAACTGTCGAGCCCCGCTCCCCTGGAAACTGTCGAGCAGCACTCCCCTGGAAACTGCAAGCAGCGGCGGGACTGGAAGGTCGCGAAGTGCTTCATCTACTCGAGAACGTATGGCTGTATGGGGGGTCAAATCCATTCCATACGAAATTCCTTTTCCGATCATATCACCGTTTAAGAAAGACGAATCTTTGCTGAGGCTCCTGAGAGCCAAGTCCATGCCATCGCTGGTCTGGGAAGAACACTTAACTTCACAGAGCACAAGAGTCTTTTCACCGATGTCATTTCTCCTTGTCGGTGATAAGTCCATTAAAAGCCCTTCCCTGAATCAAAGGTCGAATTTCGACCTCAGTGAGGGATCAGACTCCACAGGTGCATCATTGATCACTCCTATGAATAGTTCCCATGAAGAGTTCCCCGTAGAGCACCACAAGCTCACCCGTTCTTCCTCTGATGGACACATCTGGGCTACACGCAAGACAGAGTTCAGAGATGTTAGAAACGAATTTCCAGCTTGTGCTCTGTCTTCAATCAAGAACTTGAAGGTAAAGTTTGACAGGAACCTAGAAGGGCACCCCGAAAATACCACTGAAAGACCCAGGAGAACCGTTTCTCGGAAATTACAACATAGCTCATCAGATGAACATGACTGTCCTGGCGGTGATACTGGATCGCAACATTTTACAACCAGGAGACCTAGTCGACATACGAATTTGGAGAGGTGGGACACAGATGCTGTGAAAGTTGCTCGATTAGACCTTCAGAAACCTCGAAAGTCAATCGGGGAACTTAAACAACGGTTTGAACTTTGTGTTTCCAACAAAGATGACACACACCCCTCAACACAACTCGGTATACACCAACCTTCCGAACACAAAGTCGGTCAACTCATTGACAGGTTTACTAACCTCCACAATTTTGATTTTGATGATGAACTAGAGACTGGTCAGCTCCGATCCAAAAAAGATAAGACGGAGAGGCGTCTCTCCGACGTTTCAACTCTGGTTCGTAAGTTTGCTAAGTTAAATAAGCTCAGACACTCCTCCTCAGAGTCTGATGACGCTTCTGAAGGTCCACCTAATGTTGCAAAGGAGGCTGCACCAATTCCTACTGTTCCAGTCATTTCAATATCAGGAAAAGTCCGCACGCTTAAAGCTGACGAATTTTGCTTCTTCGAGACTAGCAGCACTTGCGAGCCTTTGGTCAGGAGTCATTCTCTCAGGATAAAGAAAACACAGTCATCTCCATCTGTAAAACGTCGAAGTGGATCAATGCGAGAAAAGAGAAGTGATAATACTTTGCTACCACCAGAAGATAGCACCAATACAGCCAAAGCTCTACCACGAAATTGCCGACCACTTCGACCTGATGAGCTTCGCTTTTTTGGCATGGGGAATAACAATATATATAGTGTAAGGGAATTAAATACATCCAAAGAGGAAGTGAAAGAGAAGAGTCTGAATTCAAGCAGGATATTTGTCTAGCTAGCCAGGGTAATCACTGTCAATACAAAGGGTTCCTGGCGGTGATCAAAAACTCTCGACAAACTACTATTCTGACTGATTCAGAAAAAAACATCCTGGGAGATTGTGGCTCGTGTGATTCTGATGAAATTCAACTCTTGGATGAAAGAATTGAGTTGGATGATAACTTTAAGAGTTCCGAAGAGAGCTGTGAAAAAAAAAAAACTTAATGAATACCGGAACCGAAGCACTATTAGAACCAGTCCAGTGTGACAAAGTGGGTCAGGAAAATATCCTAGTCTCCGGTAGAGGTTCCGCAATTAATGAATTATTATTATAATCAAGGGAGAAGCGCTAAACCCGGTGGATTATACAGCGCCTGGGGGGGGGGATGAGGAAGGCATTCCGGCTTAATTCGGGGAACTGGAGCACAGATTCAATTCCCTAAATCAAGAGCCCCTCACCAACATCAAGGAACCTTCCTTGAGGGGAGAATGGATTTACAAGTTGGGCAGAAAAAGAAAATGAGTGCCACAGAAGTCACAGAAAACGATGCTTTTATTTACATGAGAGAGGAAACTAGACTAGAGTCGAGAAGTATAGCAGCAAATACACTGCAAGGCGCAAAGGGCATATTGGCAGAAGCTAAGCAGTCCAGAAAAGACAGTGAGCGTCACAGGGAGATGTATGAAGTTAGTAACAGAGGAAATTACACATTAAGAAATGTTACAGATTAGAGCAGAAACGTTAGTCAAATGTTGTTGGAAGACTTCAATGTGCAGATACCACCACTGCCTCATGTTGACATATGCAGTAGAATTTACTGAAGAATTAGGAAGTGCAGGACAGAGAAACACAAATGAAGGTAGAATCAGAACTAATGCAATTTCCAGAGAACATCAGTCAAGATGAAAACTAAAACATTCAGCAGCTTCAGCAAGTGACGATTATTAAGTGAGGAACAACGCTGCACAATGGATCCAAGAAAATGAGAAGAATATCACAAATGATGTACACCAGAGGTTACATAATATACCAGCGACACCATGGCTGAAGCCAGCTCCACAGCTAGGTGCCGTACAGGTACCAGAGGTTATGCAATATACCAACCACACCATGGCTGAAGCCAACTCCGAAGCTAGGTGCCGTACAGGGTACCAGAGGTTGCATGATATACCAGCGACACCATGGCTGAAGCCAACTCCACAGCTAGGTGCCGTACAGGGTACCAAAGGTTACATAATATACCAGCGACACATGGCTGAAGCCAGCTCCACAGCTAGGTGCCGTACAGGTACCAGAGGTTATGCAATATACCAACCACACCATGGCTGAAGCCAACTCTGCAGCTAGGTGCCGTACAAGGTACCAGAGGTTGCATGATATACCAGCGACACCATGGCTGAAGCCAACTCCACAGCTAGGTGCCGTACAGGGTACCAGAGGTTACATAATATACCAGCGACACCATGGCTGAAGCCAGCTCCTAAGCTGGAGTCGTTCAGGGTACCATAGGTACTCAAGAGTAATGAATTAAGACACCAGTGCAACACTTGGGGGGTATCTTCTACTATATTGTACTGAGGAAGCCACTGGTTGGTTATAAGTTTCTTGAAAGTCATCAATTTGTGTACTCTGGACTACTTATGGACACAAGCATATCAGAATACCAGCATCTTTTAACAAGAAATAGCCAAAAACAGTATGAGATCCAAGGATCTAATGGCTATGCTCGAGTCTGTAAATGGTGATCCAGTGTATGAAATGAAAATAATTAGGGACATTAAAAAATAAACTTAAACCACAATCCCAGGAAACTGCCTCAGTCTACCTGATATCAAAAACAAGGCTAATACCACCATACCTCTTCAAGGTGGACTCCATGACATGGTGAAGAGGTTTTTGGTCTGAGGAATTAGACCTTTTGGTCTCCTTCCTCAGACCAAACTTAGTTACTTACCAGTCATCCCTTCCCTATCCCATCCTCCCCATCTCCCATTTTTTTCCTCCCCCCTCCCAACCCTCCCTCTACACTGTAGCCCTTGTGGTTTAGCGCTTCTTTTTTATTATTATAATAATAATAATAATCCCTCTATCCTGGCCCATTTGTACCCTCTGGGGTCGTCGTCCTCTGGCATTACAGTTGCTAGGTTGCTTCCTGGAGCGCTGGTTTAATGGTGTGAAGGGTAGGGTACGGTACGGCAGGGGGTTCCATGCTGCATCTGCACTGCTCGTGGTCCTGAGGTCCTCTCGAGTGAGAGGGAGAACTTACTGCCCTTTCATGCCTTCTAGTGACTGTCCCTCCACTGTACCTTTTCTTTTTTTTTTTTTCCTTTAAAATAATAAAGAAGTATCACCATCATGGAGTCTTCGTTCCATGATGACCCTCCTCCTCCCAGGCCCCTTTTTGTTACCATATCCTGTTCTGACCCGGTTTAATTATCCAACCATTCTCCAGACTTTTCCAATACCCCTGTACCTTCTGCTGTGACGTTTCATCACCTCCAAATGCTCAGGCTCCACCCATTTCTTCTAGTGTCTCTGCCTCTTGAAGGCCTTTAACTACGAGTCAAGCTTCCCCGAATATGGTAAGACAGTTTTCGGATCACCCGCCCACCTCAGGTTGGGCTGCCTACAGAACTACTACTCAACATAACAGACCATTTGCTGATGACGGTTCTTCAATGTCTACTCATTCCACCCAGAAACGACCTATGTGACACCCACTTCCTTTATGCACCATGTTTACAAGTATGCAGAAGACGATTCTTTTCCCTACAACCAACATCTCCATCTGATTATTCAATTCAAGTTTATTCTCTATAAGGGTTACAATGTGGGGTTTACAGGTTTTGGGTATTGTGTGGTTTACATGTTATAAAATACTAATTACAGAGGGGGCCGCTAGGACACCTAGCATGGCTAGGCATTTCGAGCAGACTTAGATTAATTCTTAACATTAATTCCTTACAGATTATGGTATTAAGGCTAAGTGACTACATCATAATTTGTGAGTTTAGCAATGTGAATGCTTTTGTTTTGGCACAATACAAAGTGTCTATATTGGAGTATCATAGGCAAACTTATGACTAGTTAGGATTTATTCTTTTAAGATTAAGATTAGTATTTCTGGGTTTATAGTCAGTGGGTGAGTGAGTGTAATTGTGAACCACCAGGTGGTTATCATGTAGTTAGTTGTCGGGGTGAATCAGGGAGATAAGATGTTTTCTAACTGTAGTTTTGAAAGTGATGAATATGTCTGCAGTTCTAGAGTTTTCAGGTAGGGTGTTCCAGATTTTAGGTCGAACATGAAAATGGTATAAAATACCAACAGGTTGTTAGGTAAGACACATGTGCAACAGTTAGGTATCTTTATTTCGAAACGTTTCGCCTACACAGTAGGCTTCTTCAGTCGAGTACAGAAAAGTTGATAGAAGCAGAAGAGACTTGAAGACGATGTAATCAGTCCATCACCCTTAAGGTTTTGAGGTGGTCAGTCCCTCAGTCTGGAGAAGAGCATTGTTCCATAGTCTGAAACAATATGGAGTTGAAGCGACAGGATGGAGCCTTATATAGCGCCTACTCTGTAGGCGAAACGTTTCGAAATAAAGATACCTAACTATTGCATATATGTCTTACCTAACAGATTTTAGGTCCTTTGAAATACATTGAATTTTTGTAAAGGTTTAGTCGAACACGCGAAATGTCAGAGATGTTTGTGCCTGGTGTTATCCCTGTAGATCCTGTCACAACTATCAAGAAAGCCTTTTAGGTCAAGATTAATATTGGAATTTAAGGTCCTGTAGATGTAGATGGCACAGTGGTAAGTGTGGATGTTCTGAACAGGGAGTAAGTTTAGATCTATGAAGAGTGGGGGGGGGGAGGGATGTTGCCAGGGATGGGATTTAGTGATTATTCTTACTGCAGCTTTTTGTTGGGTTATTATTGGCTTTAGGTGTGTTGCTGCAATTGAACCCCAAGCACAGATAGCATAGGTGAGGTATGGATATATAAGTGAATGGTATAGTGTGAGAAGGGCAGTTTGTGGCACATAGTGTCGTATCTTGGATACTATCGTATCTTTCAGATCGTAGCATTGGTAAAAATCTTTTATGACACATTGGCCAAAATATATCCTTTTACACTCTTCGAAGCAGTGTGTGCATCATCACAGTTCAGGATGCAGACCAAGCTCATGATCTTTACAATTTTACTTCCATTGTTAACGTTCCTATTTCTGTTCACAAGCAGGCTACTCTCAATTCTTGCAGTGGTATGGTGGTTTTTACCATGTACCATTGTACAGTTTGTCTTGCAGTGATGATATTTTGGAGCAATTAGCATTTCAGGACCTTCCAGTTCTCGAAGTGGATACACATGTCCTGCCCAGTAGTGGGCAAAGGCACTTTCCCAGTAACATCACCTGCTTATCCTTTGACTGCCATGAACTCCCGTCCTCAGTTTGTCGTGGTCCATCGCCTAGGGGTCTGTAAATTAGTCGCTATGCCTCAACAGTGTAGAAATTGCTGGCACTTTGGACACCCTGCTAAATACTGCAGATCTGTGGCACAGTGCCCAGTCTGCAGTGCCATGGATCATGCTGATACATCTTGCAGTCTTCTCCCCACTTTTCTTTATTGCAATGAACTTCATTCTTATTTTTCCCACCAATGTCATGTCTAACTTGATGAACGAGAAATCCCCTCTTTAAAGGGATCTCTTTGTCGTGGTAAAGAGGCTGTTGGTCGGAAGAACTGGACCTCTTGGTCTTCATCCTCCGGCCAAACCTAATTACCCCCTAATCCCCCATTTTCTATCCCTTCCTACCCATACCCTCCCTTTTTCCCCATCCCTCCTCTCTCCCAACCCTCCCTTTTTCCCCATCCCATTTGAGACCACTTGGATCCTTCCCTCTGGCATTGTGGTTTCGAGGTAAGGGGTGGCATGCTGGGGCTCGTCCCCCTCCATGAGGTCCCTCGGGGGTAGTGTGGTTTGCCGTGGAATCTGAATTGTCTGAGGATGCCCTACTCCCTTCCTGGTTCCCGGGTCATGGGTGGGGTGCTCTTCAGATGATGGGTGTATTGCAAGAAGCTGCCTGTCAGTTCTGGAGGGTGGCAGCCAAAGGAGGTATGCTTTGTGGCAGGTTGCCTTTCTTTTGTCCGCCGAGGTAGCTCTGTACATGAGGAGAGGCTTCTATCACAGAGCGCTGGTTTACTGGCGTGAACCTCTTCAAGGGGGGCTCCTTGGCGTGGTGAAGAGGCTCTTGGTCTGAGGAATTAGCCCTGTCGGTCTTCTTCCTCAGACCGAACCTAATTACCCCCCAATCTCCCCTCCCCTATCCCATCCTCCCCTTTTTCCTTTCCTCCTCCTCCTCCCTACCCCTCCCTTTTGCCCTTCCTCTTTTTGGCCTTTGGGATGTCTCCCACAGGCGCGCTAGTTCCTAGGTAGGGGAAAGGATACCGGGGTCCATCCCATTCCGTTGAGGTTCTTGGCGGTGGTGTAGTTTGCCGTGGAATCTGGATCGCCTGGGGATGTCCCGATCCCTCTCCGGTATCCCGGAGTAGCTTTGGGTGTCTTTCGGGCGACGGGTGTATCTCTGGCAGCCACCTTTCGGATTCCGGGGGTGGTGGCCGAAGGAGGTATGCTTTGTGGTGGATATCCGGCCGCCCTCTCTTTTGTCCACCGAGGTAGCTCGGCAGATGTGAGGTTGCTATCCCGGATTGTTAGTTTACTAGCATGATGGGTAGGGTATGGCACGGGTTCCATGCTGCATCTGCGCTACTTGCGGTGCTGATGTCCTCTTGGGCGCGGAGGGAGATTTCTGGCCCTTTCATTCCTCCTAGGAACTATCCCTCCCCGGTCCCCCCTTTTATTTCTTTTCTTCTTTCTTATTTTTTCTTAAAAACAAAAAGAAAGAAAAGTAACCTAACCATGGCAGCCCTAGTCCATGAACCTACTACCCCCGGGCCAATTCTTGATACCGCACCCCGTTCTGACCCCGCCTCGTCTTTGGACCACTCTTCAGACACTCCTCATGCCTCTGTACCTATTGCCGGGGCTGTTTCCTCACCCGCTTCAGGAACTGAGGCCTCGACTGACTCCTTCAATTCATCTGACCTTCGCTCTCCTCTTACTATGCTTCCGGCCTCTCCCTCTACGGTGCGGCAATTTTCAAATCGCCGACCCGTTCCACGTCGGACCAACACTGGTCCCACGCCTAAACGACAACGACAATTACCTGCTGATGATACTTCTCCACCTTCTAGTTCTTCTCAGAAACGATCGACACGTTCTTCACTACCTTTCCACGCTCAGTTTCAGACTGAACAATGGACTAAATTCTTCACTTTACGACCGACTTCCTCTACTGCCTATCTTTCTGACCACAGTATTGGCAAGGCACTCCTACGCTATGTTGGTAAAGATATTTCTTTTCATGCTCTTAAGAGCGGTACGCACATCATTACTGTACAGAATGCTACCCAGGCTCATGAGCTCTCTCGTCTTTCCCATATCGATACTGTTCCTGTCACTCTTGAAAAACATCATTCCCTCAATTCTTGTAGTGGTACCGTCATTCTGCCCCATACCATAGTTGAACAAAATTTCCAGACATGTGGCACTGACATTCTTGAACAGCTGGAACTCCAAGATCTCCCAATCCTCAAGGTAGACACTTACGTTCTTCCTGCCCGCGGGCGGAGATGATACCCTAGCAATGTGGCTCGTTTAACTTTTGACAGCCGAGAACTCCCATCCTCAGTTTATATAGCAGGACATCGGTTACAAGTTCGAAAGGTGATCCCTACACC